ACGAAGTCCCGTCGCAAAGCTAAACCCGTTTCTCGATTCAGATCAAATCCTCAGAGTCGGAGGGCGCTTGAATTACGCTCCTCTTCCGACGACTCACAAACATCCCGCATTATTAGCGAAGCATCCCGTCACTACGCTTTTAGTCCGATACGCTCACATACGATCAATGCACGCCGGGGTACAATTAACATTAGCCACCCTCCGACAAAGATACTGGGTTCTTCGAGCGCGCGCGATAGTCAAAGGCGTCATTCACGAGTGCGTCCCGTGTACGCGGGAAAGAGCAGCTATCCCGAATCAACTTATGGGGCCCCTGCCACCCGCTCGAGTCACGGCGCCCACTAAAGCATTTAGCCATTGCGGCGTAGATTATGCCGGCCCCGTTCAAACTCGAACCGCACCCGGCCGTGGAATCAAATCCCGAAAAGGCTACATCGCTCTTTTCATTTGTCTCGCGTCCCGAGCAATTCACCTGGAGCTCGTCAGCGATTACTCGACTCAGGCTTTTCTTCTCGCATTTACTAGATTCTGCTCGCGGCGCGGACTGCCGTGCACGATGTATTCCGACAACGGAACGACATTTGCCGGCGCCGACAAAGAGTTACGCAACGCCTATCAAGCCGCGCTATCGGATAATGACTTCCAAAATCGCACCGCTTCTGACGGCATTCTCTGGAAGTTTATTCCGCCGCACGCGCCTCATTTCGGTGGGTTGTGGGAGTCGGACGTGCGAAGCGTCAAGCATCATATTCGACACGTTCTCGGATCTCACTTCCTCACCTTCGAAGAGTTCACAACCTTGCTCTCCCGAATCGAAGCTTGTTTAAATTCCCGGCCCTTGGAGCCGCTTACGGACACGCTCGATGATTTCGAGCCACTTACTCCAGGCCATTTCTTAATCGGCTCGGCGATCACGATGCCGCCCGAGCCCTCGCTGTTGCACATCAACGAGAATCGACTCTCTCGATGGCAACTAATTCGGCAGATAACAGAAACCTTCTGGCAATTATGGCAATCAGATTATGTTAATACGCTCCAACAGCGAAGTAAATGGTGCCGCGAGAAAAAGGGAATCAAGGTAGGCGCGATGGTACTCCTCCGAAATCCGCTACTCCCCCCGTGCAAGTGGGAACTCGGACGCGTAACCCGGTGTCATCCGGGCCCTGACGGTTTGGTAGGCGTGGTGTCCGTAAAAACCGCACAATCGGAGTTCAAGCGACCAATCGTAAAATTATGCGTTTTACCGTTCGCTGAACCCTCTGCACAAACCGAGCAACCAAACAAGACGACATCCCAGGAGATTCCGTTGCGCCAGTAAACCGCGTATAAGCGGTCCCCTGTTAAGTAGAGTCGCGTGCGTTGTATCACGTGTAATATCGTTCGGTCTAATGCGAAGACCATAACTCTCTACAAGATATCGATCAAACATGTGACAACACACTCACTGCGAGTGTTTTCTCTTCATAGTTTCAGGGTTCAAAAGGAAAGGGCTAGACGATCCGCCACTCATCGTCGTGTCGCATCGCCCGTACTCATTGTCAGTTCCTTTCGAAACTAATGTTTCGAGGCGCGCGGTATGTGCGAGATTGTCGTGGCGAATAACTCATCGAATGTAAGCGATAATTGTCGTGGCAAATAGCCCAAGAAATAGGCACGATACTTGGCGGGGCAAAGAACCAAACGACCCGATAAACACAAATCAATGTCAACATCGGCGAGGTGACGGGCAAATAATCACGTCCGACCTGCTCATCGTCACATCGGATTTACCGAATACAAACGCGCGGTTCGCGTTAAAAACAAATACCCTCGACATTAGGACCGTATGAGAGCGACGACAAATAAAGATTTAAACCGAAGTTCAGTTGCTAGTGAGACAGCAATAAGAGAGCACGATTAACGGAATCAGTCCAGAGTCACGTATAGCAGATCGCTCCGAGATTCGTGATCGCGAACTACAAATTCGCATCGCGATTCTGGCATCTCGCTCTCATACGGTCTTAAGAGTCCGGTTGACTGCCTTCGCGCGTCCGCGTGTGACCGCGAAACGAGCGCAGCTCAACTGCAAATCGTTTCCGAAAGTGCTGCTCTCGTTTACCGTGCGGGTACGAGATTAATCAAGAACGTTATAATATCTCAGTGTAATTTGTCAATAAATTTATTGTGTTGTTAACGGTTCGCAAATCTGCCCGTCACGTCTCTCCTGGGTGTTTTCGGAGCACCAGTCGGAGCTCGGTCCGGCGATACATATACAGTCAAAGAGCGTTGCTCTCCGGCCGTCGCCTGCGAACCTCGCTCAGAAGGCAACCGGAGTCGCGCACACTGTCAAATGTTTTGCCGGTCCATAATTCGAGCGGCGTTTTACCAGGAATACTTGACTTCCCTGTACGATTGATCAGAAATACTGCCGTGTCACACGCATGAGCCGAAAATGATTTTGACAACTCACTAACCGAAAGCATCGAGCGAGCAAGTTCAACAACGTGTCGGTTTGATTGTTCCGCGACGCCATTTTGTTCAGGCGTATACGGACATGATGGACGAAACTCGATGCCGCGTTTTCGTAGTAATGTCAATAATTTAGCACAATCGAATTCAGTACCACAGTCCGAACGAAAAGTTTTCACTTTATGTCCTGCGGTATCGCACTCATTTAGAAACGTTTCCAGGTGCGTGGCTACTTCTGATTTTTCTTTCATGAAAAATATACGAACGTAACGCGAAAAGTCATCTTTGAAGGCCACGTAATACCGAAAACCGTGTAACGAATCGACCGACATCGGACCATTTACGTTGGCATTAATTAACTCGCCGACACATTGCGGACGATCCCGACGCGAATGCAACGGTTTGCGATGTGATTTACCGAGAACACACCCGTCGCAAAAGGACGCGGCATCGGAACACTTAACCGATATACCCGCACGGGATAGTACATCGCGCACATGACGTTTGTCTTGATGGCCTAATCGTTCGTGCCATCCTTGTAGTACTTCTTCGGTTGAAGCTAGGTTAGCTTCCACGGAAAAATCCGGAATACGAACACGCATATTCATGACGTACACGGGACCGATGAGTTTACCGGTCGCAACGAGTTCACTACCGTATCGAATTTTCACACCATCGAAGTCGAACGTAATGTTATTTCCGTGTTTGACAGCTTGTCGAATGGAGAAAAGTTGATGGCGAGCCTCAGGTACATACCAAACGTCCTTCATCGAAGCAGGCAACCATCTGTCACCTATGCGCATCTCGACGTCAATTCTGCCAGACCCGTAAGCCAGAATGTATTCCTTGCCGGCTGTCTGGACGCGCTGCGGAATCGGGACCTTCTCGAATGTAGCAAAGTATTGTTTATTCGTCGACATATGATGCGTCGTACCGGAGTCCGAAATCCAAGAGTCAGCGGGAGCGAAGTCTGCGTTGACTGCCAGGCCAGTGGCGAAGAACGTGCCTGGTTTGCTGTCCCTTTTCGAGTTGGTTTCGGAATCATTTTTGCTGGAGTTAGCGTTCGTTGCCGCTTTCTGCTCTGCGTTCACGCGTTTCTGACAATTGGCGATGATATGTCCGACTTTCTTGCAATATAAACACGACAGTTTTTCCTTCTTATGTTCTGTCGAAGCCGGATCTGGTGTTGATTTATTTTGTTTCTTCTGTAAATTCTTCACTTTCGGTTTTGCGTAGAAAGCGCCAGACGTCTGTGGTGTTCCGTGCGACGCAACCGAATTCTCAATCGAACGCAAATTTTCAATTAATAGCTTCGTCGTTTGCTCGTTTTCCGGAATGCAATACCAAGTTGAACGATAATATTGGTACTCGGGACCGAGCGTTTTGAAAATACGATGGTGAAGCAGCGATAGCGGAAGTGTAGCATTCGGGTTGCCTTTATGTAATTCGTTAAGATGTCCTCGAACACGTTCGCTAATCGAGACGTATGTTTTGTAACGGAGGTTGCGTCATCCTTCGACATCTCGAAGAAGCTGTCGAGCAACGTGTATAATCTCTGCAGAGATGACTGTTCAAATACTGACACTAACGTATCCCAAATTTCTTTCGCGTCGGTCTTCTTACGGACGTGAAGAGCGGCTTCTTCTTCGAGCGTTGTACCGAGTATTCGAGCCGCACGCGCATTGTCTCGTTGCCAGCGTCGGTACGCTTCCGATGGCTCCCCGCCGTCCTGCGGCCCGTCCGGGCACGACCGCGTGCCATCGACAATCGAATAATGGCACTGTTCTTTTAAACACAGTTCGATTTGCCATTTCCACGTTTCCCATTGATCATCACTTCCTAACTTGCGAATGCTCGCCACAAAGCGACTGCTGTCGTCTATGTGCTGCTGCACGGAGTCGGCCATATTTTTCTTTCTTCTTCACAGTGACCGTATCAGGGCGCCGATTTGCACGTTATCACCGAAAGCCGAACGCGGATACAACTTCAACACGTACCTGGGCCCATAACCTGAGGTGGTAAAATGGGTTTCGGTAATAAAACTCGAACGACAAAGTAATATCAACTATTTATTGTATGACCGACATGAACGTGACGGAATCGTGTCTAGAACTAGAACACAGAGCTAGAGTCATATTGCAGCTTGCCAACATAAAATATAGTTTCTAATGATGTCGATAGGTGGCGATACAAGACAAGAAAAGAAAAGAAAAGAGAGTTTTGGTGAAATTTAGTTACTTTAACAGAGAGGATTAAGTTCTCAAGTTGTGATACATAGAAGTTTTTCACAATCAGTCGCCCATAGCGTCCGTGACAATCTCATTTGTGAAACACTTTTTTATCTGTCTCTGAAAATCTCACCACCTCATCATCTCAGGATTACATTTACTTTTTTACAGACTTATTGAGACTTATTGATGTCATTCTCCTCAACATAAATTGCAGTCATTTTTATTCGCCAGGCTTTGCGTTCTCCATTCATTTGAGGGTCGCTTTAATTATGTTTCGTCTGCAAGTCCGGTGTTATGTTTGCAAGGCACTGGGTAATCCCCAACAATTGCAACGAATGGATGGAGATCAAAATATGCAAAAACGTCAAATTGCTATCATTAGAAGAGATGCTAACAATAGGCCGATCATCGACCGGGGGTGTGGGGAAGCGATGTCCCATGGACACTTGTCCGGAAGGGCATCGTGGACCCACACCGGGTCCCTGGAATCATAAGTTCATGGTTCCGGGGACGACTCCCGGTGCCCGCGGGCAATCGCTCTTACGGGCACCGGGGGTCGAGTCCCCTTCACCGGGTCCCACGGGTGTTCCCGGGGGAGCTCGGGGGGGACGGGAGGGGCGGATTTTTCGGTCTCCCCACGTTGGGGGGGGGCCGGGAAGCCGTTCTGCTCGGGTAGACGGGCTGACGGGGCCGCTCGGACGTATTCCGAGGCAGGGCTCGTCAGCCTGGGACCCTTGGAGCCGCTGGGACGTTTCCCAGACGGGGTCCAGGGCCGTGG